TCAAATGATTCACAGCACTCTGAGAATGCTGGGCAGAAGAAGGAGGAGACAAGGAAAAGGCTGGGTTGGGGGTTGAGGGAAGAGATGGAGTAAGGGCAGGGTCTGCCACAGAGGGAAGGGTTGAGCAGCCCTGGCAAATAAGAAGTGTCTCACAGTTAAAGCAAGGGCATGGGTGAGGTGCATGTCGATTGCACACAACATTGTGAGAACTATGCACTCACTCTGCTTTGTGTTACTTTTGCTGGCAGTTTAATATGCCTGGAATCATGCCTCCCTTTGTGTTGCAAAAGCATGACAAAGAAGGAGAATCAAGTGCCGTACATTTAATCTTATTTGTAGGGCCGTGGTTAGTGCACATGCCTGATTTCAATCTTGCAGCCCATTGATTAGCCTTGGTTGCCCATCGTTGCTCTACTGCCCTGAATGCTTGTGCGGTCATTTATTTTTCTGCACACTGAATGTCAAGTGGGTAAAAAGCACTACCTTCTGCCTGAGAGACTAATTCAGGAGCATCTGACACGTTCTTTGCCCTCTATTTGCCTTGGGGCAAACAACTTCAGAAAATGCAAGACAGTGGAGAATCAGATAAGAGGGATCAAACATTTAGTTGCAGACAAGGAGTGTGTGATATTAGGACAATGGTATAAAGGAGTGCTTCCTTCTTTACAGACACTGGGGCTAACAAACCACTGGTCCTATCCTTGATAGATGTTTACACCAATTGTCAGAGGCTGCATAGCTCTAGCAAAATGACAAACATTCACTACATGTTTCAATGCACATGGTCTTGCCACCTGCTCCAGCAGTCAAGAGGTGGTTGGTAGAAGCCAATAAAGCAGCTCTACACCATCCAAGAATTATCCTAATAAAGTTCCTAGTGGTCAGTTACGTTCTGTTCAGAGCTCCATTGGAGCAGTTAAATGCAGGCTTAGCACAATCTAGTATCTGGCTCTAGTATTGATGTAAATGAACCTTTTAATTTTTTTTAGAAAAAAGAAGCAAATATCTGTGCTCACCTGTTGCATTTTGCTCAGCTGTAATTATCTTACAGATTGTTATTGTTGTTGGTTTCAAAGGACTTCATTCAGCAGTTTAATCTGCTTTGTGATTTTGATATTGTATTCTGTGTCCAGAAACAGCAAGTGTCCTTGGGATAGAACAGTCATTTATGATGCTCCTGATGTGTTATATTGTTCAGTCATCAAAGATTTTAATGGAATGGAAAATTTACTTCCTGTTAAAGACAGTCCTTTATTTAGACACATACACACAGAGAATGACTATTAAACTACCTGTTGAGTATATTAAACTAAAAGGGATGATAATAACATAAAAGGTGTGGAAGAGATTTGCTATATTATGTTATACAAATTAGTTTTTTAATGGAGAATTTCTGCAATTGGAACCCTTATTCCCAAAATGAATGATATCCCCTTTATGTTTTGACATATCACCCTTATTTTCTAAACCTTTGGGGAAAGTGCTTAACTTTATGTATGTCCTTAAGGGTATGTCTACACTAGCCCCCTAGTTCAAACTAGTGCCATCACCAAACTCAGAGCAGCCCACTTTTAAGGCAATTAAGTGCCAGTTTACAAAGGGGCTTAAGGGAAATTAAGGCCTGCACCTCAAAGGTCTAACTCTCATTGGAGTTAGGTAATTAAATATCTTTGAGAATCTGGGTTTAAGTGATTTTACCATAGACCACAAACAGGAAATGTGTTGAGAGAGCTAGGAATATAATCCAGATATCCTGATTTCCCAATCTGTGCTTCAAAACCCAGAAAATGCTTCCTATCTATCATGGCACACCCACAATAGTATGTCAAGAGACTACTAAAACATACATGGGGTAGTTGAAAGGGGAGGGAAAGCCATGGATGAAGGATGTGGACACGAAATGTGAAACAATTATTTAGGCAGGTCTAGCCACAGGTGCTGGAAATAGAGATGCCAGGGGTGCAAATGCAACCCTTGACTTGAAGTATGAAATACATTTGCTGACAAGATTAATATTTTTTCATTAAAAAGGGAGAGAACTGTCAGTTGAACATTTGCTGTTCGAACGAGAAAGTAAGAAAAGTATTGACTGCTTAAAGAAACATATTGCCAAAAAGGAAAGAGAAGAATAAGGAGTATAGTGTCTACTTGCAAATGGTCAATAAAATAACGTGGCAGCTTTGTGTTATGTACTGTTGCCCTTTAGAATGGCAAAGTGTTATTGATGAAGAAGAAAGTGAGTCACTATCAGAAAAAGAGCTGGCAGAATATTTCAAAAGCCGTGCATGCTAACATTTGTCCACATGGTTAGTCCTTCCAAGCACGTTTGTGTACCTTGGTACTACAGAATATGCAAGGAAGGATGTCTGGTTTGCATGACTTGGGGAACAGCATTCTGAAGCTCCATCTACACTGTCAGGTTTTTCTGGAAGAGGAAATGCAAATGATTATTTGCATATTCTCTTCTGATCCTTTTTGCAGAAGAGGTTTTTGCAGGAAAAAACACAATGTAGATGGGGCTATTTTGCGCAAAAAAACCCTTACTCCTCAAAAAATGAGGGACCTTTTTTCCATGAAAACCTCTTCTGTGAAAAGGATCAGAAGAGAATATTCAAATGAGCATGAGAAATGCTAATGAGTTCTTTATTTGCATATCCTCTTCTGCAAAAACCTGACGGTGTAGTCGGAGCCTGAGAATGAATATCCATTGACTCAAGCATAAACAAGAGTATTCATTGGGGCTGGAGACAGATGTCACCGGGCTCTGTGCAATGAATGTGTTGGGGGGGAGGGAAAGCTCAGCTCCAGACCCCCTAGAAGGGGCAAGGCCTCAGGTGGAAGGGAGGGGCAATGGGCAGCTAACCTTCAGTGCCACTTTGACCATGCTGTGCTTTCCCAGCCAGCCCTTAATGCCCCTGGAGTGGCGCCACACAGGGCTCCAGCAGTGATTTATAGGGCCCTGGATGCCATTACTACTCCAGCCACAGTGGCCCAGAGCCCAAGGCCCTTTTAAGTCACCATGCCTGGGGGTAAGTGCCCTCGTTGCATCCCAATCCCATTGGCAGCTCTGGTATTCACTAGTTAGCCATCGCTGATCATTCTTTTCTTTAAAATCTCTCTGTCATCCAATCAGTAAGAAGAAACAATACTGGGTGAGAAGATGGATCCCACATCACGCAAAGTCAATGTGAAGAGCAATTCAGGGGGTGAGAGTCACTCCAGATTTATGCTACTTTAAGGCAAAAATCCTTTAGCTCTCAGGTAGCAGATACAGAATGAGGGACCCAGGTGCCAGGATAGACAGCAGAGGCAACGTCAGTGACAGTGAAGGAGTGGGCAATAATACAGTTGAAAGCGTGGGAGGCACAGGTTGCAAGCAGGTAGTGACTAGCCAAAGAGCCCTGGAGGTGAATTTCCAGAGTACAAGCAATTTAACTTTGCTGAACTTAGCTCAGTGTCATATACCTGCATTGATTTTTCTTTAAAGATGAATCCTTTAAATTTATACTACTAGCAGATTTACTTAGTGTTGCTCAGGTCTTTCACTTAATTAAATTATTTTTTTAAACAAAAGGAAAAAGTACATGCTTTATTTAAATGATTGTGTATTTCAAAATGCAGCATTATTTGTAAATTAGTTTTTATTTCAGATTTCTTTAAAAAGGGGATTACTAAAAAATCCATTTAATTCTTTGTAGTATTTTTTTTAAATGAGAATTCCATTGTGGATTTTTTTCTTCATCCCTATAAACTCTACTATTTCTAACATTACTCCAAATTTCTCTCTCATCTCTTTTGGGAAACAGTCCTATTCAAGGTTCTTCCTATTTTTCTGGCTCATCTTGGTTCAATCTCTTTCAACATTCTCCCATTTATGTCAGTTTGGAGGGCTATAGTTGATTGAGTGATTCTGTCTCTTGTCTGTTTGGTTTTATGAGAAGCAATCCAATTTTCCTGTCACGAACAAACCCTTAAATTGTTATAAGTTACAATAAGAGGAATTTGGTGGTCTTAGCTCTAACCGTTTAAGAGATTTTCTTGATCAAACAGACAATGAGACAAACTCTCTAAAATATATAGTAGATAATATAGCAAAGCATAATACCTATCTTTAAAAGTGGAACAAAGATGTCCCAGGGAATAATAGACTAGTACGATTAATTTTGATACCTAATCAGACACTAGAACAAATGATTAAACAAGCAATTTGTGAGCTCCTAGAAGACAATATGGTTATAATGAATAGTCAGCATGGATGTGTCAAAAACAAATCATGCCAAACCAACCTAATTTTCTTCTTTCGACAGGGTTACTGGCTTAGGGTGATGTGTGGGGGAGTTATTAGCTGTTGCCTCTTGATTTTAGTAAGGATTTTTATATACTCACACATGACACTCATAAGCAAACTAGAAAATTGTGGTTTAGACTACATGACCCTATAATGGGTGCACAACTGGTTGAAAGATCATAACTCAAAAAGTAGTTGTCAGTTGTTGACTGTCAAACAATCTAGTAGGGTCCTGCAAGAGTCAGCCTTGAGCCTGGTACTATTCAATATTTTCATTAATGACTTGGATAATGTAGTGTTTATAAAATCTGGAGCCAAAACCCAACCGGGGTGAGATTGTAAGCACTTCGAGAGGACAGGATTTGAATTCACAACAACCTTGACAAATTAGAGAATTGGCTTGAAATCAATAAGATGAAATTCACTATAAATAAATACAGAGTGCTAGACTCATTAAGGAAAAGTATCAAATATGCAACTAAAAATGGGATATAAATATTTGGAAGGCAGTACAAGTCAAGCATCTTTAGTCTGGGAATATCTGTGTTCCAGCATGATTTTCATTAGCTAGATGTCCACTTATCCTGAGTATGGCCAAGTTTCCCGCTGTCCCATAAAGTTTGTTTACAGTCATCAGTTCTGGCTTTCATCAGTTCTGGCTTTCTGTGCTGTCATTTAGCTCTAATTTAGCCTTCAATATCTTCTAAGAGCCTAGAAAGCAATTACCAGAAATAGTCTCCATGTATTTGGTCCTACCACAGGACAGGACTGTAGCCCACTGGGCCAGCTTACCTTTGTTATATTCACTGCTTGGCAATATATTTTGCTTTATTATATTTAGCAGCAATGCAAGAAACCTATAGGTTTTAATCCTGTAAGACTTCGGTTTTAGCAGTTAACATCAGGCTTAAGACCTGTAAACTTTGGCATAGAGAAACTTAATTAACTCATAAGTTATAAATAACTGGAAGTAGGATGCAAGGGGGAGTCTTGGGCATGTGATATCCATTGACCACAGAACAGGAGCTGACATCAGCTTCTAGAAGGTTCCCAATGGAACATCCAACTGCAAATGCGCCATGGCAACAAACTGACGTATATGATAATGGGTTGAAATCATAGATATACTAGCCTATAGGAAAAGGACACCTTTGTATTGGCAAGAGGAGGAAATACAAATACGGAATAAGGGTAACCCCCTATTAAATATGCATTAGACATGGTATAGTCAGCATAGCATTTTATGAAAGTAGCGACCCAGGGCAACAAAGGTAGAGATGTAGACCTTGTAGGGGCCAGAATGATGGTCACTAGTAAAGACAAGGAAGGTAACAGTAATGAGGAAGATAAGGGCTAACATCCAGATTGATCTGCAAGGCATGGTGTGAGTGTGGATGTTCCAATGTACTTTCTGTATTATCTCTGTATTATTTCTATTTATCTTGCTGAGTTAGTGTGTATATCTGTAAATAAATTATTTATTTGTAAGTGTAAGAGTTGCTATAGTGTGCATATTGTACCTGTGCACATCAGGATTCCCAACTATAAAATAATAGAAACAATAATTTTACTTGGGAAAAGGACCTGTTAACCCTCAGGATAATATGGGAATGTTTGGATCAGGCTACCAGACTTGATGACCTCTCAAGTTCTCTTCCAGCCCTACATTTTTAAAATTCCATAGACTACAGCATTTTGTAGATATTTCAAGTTATTTTAAAGTATATTGCAAATGAAGTGCAGCAGTTCCTAGCAGGAAGGAGCCAAATTATTCATCAAACCATATTAGGAATGGAGTGAACAGCACTTTACATGGATAGAGATAGCACTAGCTTCGATATACACTTCAATTCACACAAGAACGGATATTTTCCTCCACAAAACTGATTCTGTAACACTTGCAAAAGAGCACAGTGGGTAATGGATAAAAATGATTAGTGTTTTATCAAAGAGGTTTAAGAGAACTTGATTCTATGAAAGTGCAGCTACCTGTTCTAGAATTCACATGAGAAGCATTATTTCTTGCTCACTGCAGGCAAGTGTCACTTTGAAATGGATTTTTTCTCCCCTAAACTTCAGGCCATTTACACAATATAAGATTTTTTTTAGGTGATATTCTGCTATATTCTATTTTTGAGCGTTGAGACTGCACACTTTGGTACAGAGCATGTTTCTGCACTGAACCTATGAATCAAAATGTATTCTCTAGTGGATGTTTGGAGGTAGAATTTGCCCCCTTGTGCTCTTCAATCTTCATCTCTGACATATTCAAGGATATTTAAGTCCCATAAGAAAAAAAATGAACATAAATCTTCAAAAATATGTCCTTACATGCCTTCTTAAAATGAAAATGGATGTTCCTCCATAAATTATTAGAGTTTGCTGCAAACTCTGAGGAGCATGCACTTTTGGAAACAATTTGGAAACTGAAAAATACATAAATAATATAAATGTTGATAGATTTGGGGCAGAGTCATTTTTGAAACTGCTGAACATCTCCTCTTAGATGCTGAGCACCTTCACTTTCCATCCCAGGAAGTCAATGGGGGGTTAAAAGCACTCAGCAGGTTATTGGATTGGGCCTTTCAGCTTACTGCATATGGCATATTTAATAGTTTTCTGTAAATTGAAGAAAATAACTTTTTTTCAGTCATGATATTCGTATGTGTCCATGTGCTATAGAAACACATTCAAGCTGAAACCTTGTGTCTAAACACCCTTCTCTGAAGTTTTCAGCTAGAATTATATTGAAGTTCACATTACGAGGGAGTGAAAAACTGATTTTTGTCAGCTCAGTGGCCAAACGGAAAAAAAAAAACCTGAAGAAAATAGTACCACTCAGAAATGGAAAATTGGTGTGTTTTTTTTGACCACTAAAAACCCCCAAAATACTTTATTTAGTTTTTGAGAGTGTATCTTCAATAGGAAAAACTTCCATCACCTACTACAGGAGTTTGATCTGGCTGTGAAATATTGGAATATGATATTGTTTAACTGCAATATTTTACAATTACTATGCCATATTTCTATGTTTTCTGAAGACTGTGACTGAAATGATAAACACCAACTTCTGTATCCGTTGGTTGCTCAACTCCCCATCCCCATCCCAGGCCTGCCCCTACTTCACCCCTTCCTCCAAGCCCCATCCCATCTCTTCCCACCCTTGCCCTCATTCTACCCCCTCCCCGCCAAGGCTTCATTTCTTGCCTCTTTGTGCCACCACTCCACCCCACCCCATTTTTTTCCCACCCTATCCCTGCTCCAGTCCATCCATGGCATGCTGGAGGCATGGGAGGCAACAGTTTGCAGGAGCTGCTGGGAGAGAGGGTGGAAGTTGAACAGCAGGGTGTCTAAGGACAGGAGGGACTGTTGGGAGGGGGAACTTTGCTGCTGGTAGGCACTAAACACCTGCTAATCTTTAATCATGGGTGCTCCTGCCCTGAAGAATCCTCAAATTTGACACCTATGGCTGAAACTTTGTAGTTAGCCTGATGTTCTAATAGCAGACAGGTAGTTGAGGAAACCTTAGCTCTTAGTGGCTTCAGATCGTCTTTCCCTCAAGTAGCAGAGGCAGGGGATATTGAGGCTACTGAACCATTAGACTGCACAAATTCTTCACGATAACCAGGGGATTTCTGGGTTCCTGGGCAATGCGTGGGAGTCCTCTGCTCTATGCTTCCAGAAAGTGCAGGACCTCGGGCAAAAAGGGTGGGGCTAGGTCAGACAGTCCCCCCCCCCACAGTGCCCTTTCTGCCCCCCTGCTGGCCTTCAGAGCCAGCTGGAACACCCTGGGGCATGCCATCGGGTACTGCTAAGGTGATTCTAAAGGGCCTGGAGCTCTGGCCGCAGTCACTGCTGCAGTATTGAGACCTGGGCCTTTTCGAAACATCAGGTCCTGGCAATAGAACTCTTTGTCCCTTCCTTATTCCCCTCTCCCGCCCCCCATCAGCAATTCCCAGAATTGCTCATTTTCAGAAGACGCTGCTTAATGTTCCTTCTGATCTTTCTCTGTTCTCTGTTTTCCAGTTGTAAGATGTTTACACTTTCAGGCCAAGGAAGCAAGATTCTGAAGGTTCTTAGGAATGTATGTTAATGGATCTTCATTTAGAGGCAAGTCTGATTAGACATAAAAACTACTCAATTGACTGGGAGAAGCAGAGGCTCACAAAAAAGCAAGTTAGACTTTTTTTCAGTCAAAGAAATATCCCTTTCAATATTTCTTTTACTTCCTAGAGAGTTAGCAGAGATATGGGTTTTTTTCTTAATTTTCTTCAAAACAATAACCAGAACATTTGTCTTTTCAAATAGAACAACCAATCCTCCACCCAGGTGTGCTTACTCATATAGCAAGTCAGAGGGTATGTCTACACTACCCCGCTAGTTCGAACTAGCGGGGTAATGTAGGCATACCGCACTTGCAAATGAAGCCCGGGATTTGAATTTCCCGGGCTTCATTTGCATAAACTGGGCACCGCCATTTTTAAATCCCTGCTCGTTCGAATCCCATGCCGCGTGTAGCCGCGCGGCATGGGGTTCGAACGAGCAGGGATTTAAAAATGGCGGTGCCCAGTTTATGCAAATGAAGCCTGGGAAATTCAAATCCCGGGCTTCATTTGCAAGTGCGGTATGCCTACATTACCCCGCTAGTTCGAACTAGCGGGGTAATGTAGGCATACCGCACTTGCAAATGAAGCCCGGGATTTGAATTTCCCGGGCTTCATTTGCAAGTGCGGTATGCCTACATTACCCTCCTAGTTTGAACTAGGAGGGTAGTGTAGACATACCCAGAGCTACCTAGCTCTGATGATTTGGGGTTGTTTGGGGTTAGTACCTGGCTCTTGAATTTCTGCATAGTAAGATTCCCAGGGCTGTCTCACAGCAGCACCTCTTAAAAAATAAAAGCATGAAAAAATAATATGGGCTGTTGCTTATGTTCAAAAGGGAAATAAAAAACTGCTAGGCGTCTGGTACCACTCCATCTCAATATCCCCCCTTGGGCAATATTTGCAGCTTCTCTATGGTACACAGACATGAAAGAAACTGAATATGGAATACAAAAAATAGCAATTTACATTCTGTCAATTTAGCTGAAGTCAAGTGGAAGGCTTCACATAAGCATCTGCATTTACGCAGTGACTAAAATTAATAAAAGAGCTAGACAACACGGACTAACTTTGATCATCACTTTAACACAGCTGCTTTAAAAGCATTTATATCAGCTTCCAGTGCATTCACATTTGAATAATGAGAGCCAGATTTCTTTGTCCTTCCATGTTTAGCGTACCTGATAAGCTTAACCTTAAACTCAGCCACAGTTTCTTCAGTTGCTTTCATTATTATTCAACGAAAGTGCACAGAACAACGAAGGGTAACATCAGTGTGACTGACAATGTTTTGTGTGTATTTCAAATGAGAAAATAAGAGTTTAAAAAAGGACTGGTAAATAAAATAGATGAGTCTGGCTGCAACTGGGACTCACGAGAAGCTGCTGTATTTTTGCGGGTTTGAAACAGCTGGTTCAATGTATGGAGGTCATACAAGCTTGGACACTACATGTCAGGTTCGACAAGCAGCTTCCCTGCAGGAGTTCTTTCTGCACATTCCAAGGGGTTTTGCTAAAGCGACATCATAGAGTCACTTGCAAAGCCTGTACTTCAGCACCCATAATCTTTGGAGAGGGGCTAGCGCAATTCCCTCTCCCTCCAATCATCAGTGGAGACCTTTGACTCATTCTTCACAACTGGTATCTACACGAGGACAACAAACAAGACAACTTCCTGGCAGACTTCCTGGGAGCAAGATACATGCACATACCTTATCAATGAGCATCAATGAGACTAAGATATGCTATTCCAATCTCACCATGCCTCTGCTAATGCCTCAGTCTGGGACATGAGACACCGCACGGCAGTGTTGTGAAGAGAGAGAGGAATTCCTTTTACTATGACTTAACATTATAGATTGAGTGGGGTGGGCATAACTATCCCCACTTATCATTATTTGTATCATGATGGTTCCTAAAGACCATGAACGCTCAGGATGGGATCCTCACTTGGTTAGGTGCTGTATAAACACACAGAAAGATAGTACCTCTCCCAAAGCTAATTTTAAACCAGGACTATTACAAGTCTCTATCTTTGAATGGGGTTGTAGTCAGGTTCCCAAGTTCCCCTGATTAGGTGAATCCAAGA